CATGAAAGAGTGTTGAATTTTGATGTATGCTTTTTCTGTTAAATGATTATACGGGGTTTTTTCTCCCTTTTTTTATTAATATGGTGTATTACATTGATTTATTTTCTTATGTTGGACTATCTTTGCATTCCTGAAGAAAATCCCATTTGTTCATGGTGTATAAATGCTTTTAATATGCTGTTAACAGCGTATATTCTTACTTGTAATTAATCCTGGAGTATAGGCCAACAGCCAGGAATATAGACCCCTATACCAAGCCCGGAAAAGGTAAGAGGAGGAAGTGATGGTGCCTCAACATTGAAGCCTTGGACTGTACTGCAGTAGATATAAAAGTATATGTACTCACTTATCTATATGCTTTCTGCTGGTGGCCAGCCTTAAATGGACCAGATCCCACTGGTTTATTACATCTATTACGTATTATTTAGACTTTCTCAATTCTGAGAGTCCTTCCACAGAAAGCATATTGTAAACCAATTATTATGAACTTTATCTCTGTTGTAATTGTAGTTATATTTTTATCTTAACATTACCCTGCAGCTTGCCTATAAATTACATGCCTTAATGACAAGAATTAACTATTTTCTAATGATAAGTTTTATTTTAAGCTGCGTTTTTAAACTTGAACCTTAAAAATATAATAAGCTCTGTGTTGATCATCTGACTAATTACAGGGTATGCGCACCAGAAGAAACCACATTTCACCTTCTACACTTGTCTTTAATGAGAGAGTATATTGACTATGAGTTTTCAGCATTAAAAGTAAGTATTAATATAACCATGGGCCAAAGATGAATATGCAGAAATTTCCATAGGATTTGACTCTTCTCTTCATATTGCATAGAACAAGATCACATTTAAATATGATATTGAAAGGATAATAGATGATTGGATTTTGATGGGATTTCTTGTTGGCAATGATTTTATCCCTCATCTACCTCATTTACATATTAATCATGATGCACTGCCTCTTCTTTATGGAACATATATTACCATCCTGCCAGAACTTGGGGGTAAGAAAAGTTTAATATTTGTTTGAAGCTACTTTAATTTAGCACTCAGCTAACCCTAAAAATGTCACTCGGTTTATTAGATTATGGCATGCACAACTAAAGTAGGAAAAGAATTTGGAGTTTCTTTTAGTCTAAGGTGCCAAGCTCTCTAAAGTTGTAATTTTCAATGGATCACAAGCAAAGAAGATGTCGCCAGTTAAGCAGTCTCATTTATTGATACCTAACTAATCTCCACCTTAAATGGCTTAAGAAAGCCAGCAGAGGTTGCTCGTTTCACTTAGCTCGTCTCATATTTAAGCATAGAAATTTAGTTTTCTGAAAGGATAATCATCAGAGTAATATGAGGGAGAGATTTTCAAGTTAAAATGGGAAACTGACAGATAGTGGTGATGCTGAGTAAAACAGACGACAGGGAATTCCCTGGCCGTCCAGTGGTTAGGATTCCACATTTTTACCGCAGAAGGCACGGGTTCAATCCCTGGTCAGGGAACTAAGATCTGGCAAGTCATGCTGCACAGCAAATCAATCAGCTAGTCAATCAGTCAGTCAACAGAGTAGCAGGACATTGGTCTTTTCTTTCTTAAGTTAACATATCAAATGAATGACCTAGATAGATTCTAGAACATATTTAATTTAATTAACTGTCTCCCAGTGTTGTTTGGAAATTTGGGAAGATTATTACTATGTAAACCTGGAATTTTTTATATTTTCCTTCAGTTCTTACATACTGTGTATTATAGTAACATCCAGTTTATAGAAACTAGGGCCACTTACATTGTCTAACACTGAGTGTTTTTTCTTGATTAGTAGAATGTCAAAACTCAATGATTTGTAAAAAGAATTTTGTAGAATTGTTTAGAAAAAATAATGTCAGCTTTTAGTACAAGTTTAAATTTTGTTCCTTTTAGGTTATATTAATGAAAGTGGGCATCTCAACTTACCTCGATTTGAGAAATACCTTGTGAAACTATCAGATGTAAGTAACTAGAAGTTTTTGTTTTCCTGTCCCAGGGTAGCTATAAATGGTCAGTGACCAACTACATAATACCAGAAGAAAAAGTTTTTGTGATTCTACTCAAGTTGGTCATTCTGTATAAGTAATTTCACCTAAGTTATTTTTATTTCTATTTGCTTTTCATTTTTAGTTTTCAGAGTAGTAGATGAAGTCCCCATGTAAAAAAGTAATATCCTCTGATTTCCTATGCCCTAGAAGTAGTCACTGTTAAAAGTTTGGTCTGTATTCTTCTAAACATACTTAAGTTATTTTAAAATAAATGTGAATATTTCTGTACAGTTTGATCGAGAGCACTTCAGTGAAGTTTTTGTGGACCTAAAGTGGTTTGAAAGCAAAGTTGGTAACAAGTACCTCAATGAAGCAGCAGGTGTCGCAGCAGAAGAAGCCAAGAACTACAAGGAAAAGAAAAAATCAAAGGTGTCCATTTTTTTAGGTGTCCTTTCATTTTTTTAGCTGTAAAGGTAAAACTGATATTCCTTGTTTCTCATTTTCTTTCTTATGATTTTGGGGTTGCCTCATTTTAGTTTCATTTCTTCTTTTCCTCTATGGACATTTTAAAAATTGTTTTCGTTTCTTTTTCTCTATTAGATCCTATCATATAAATCTGATCTTTAAAAATCAGTTTATTTTTACCATCGAAGAACATTGTATTTTTTTTTGTTCTTCCACTCTATTAATAAGTGTATAAAACATTTCTAAATATAAGAGCCCAGAAAATTAGTTAAAGTGTGGATATTTATAGCATTTAATGTTATGAGACATTAACTAGATCAGTGATTTTTCTCTAGAAGTAATTTATATATAAAATCATGTGTAAAATACAGTGATAGGCTAGGCTAAGAGTAGTTTATAGCACAATACCTGGTAACTGTTAGGTCCTCAATAAGTGACTAGAGTCCGTTAGAATATGCTAGTACCCTGTAAAACACCTCTAAGAAGCCCTAAAGAATGTCTTATGTGTGTTAGCTTGGACAATAAACTTCTTCTGAAATTTTCCTCAGCTAACCCATAGTTACTGGATTCTGGTGAAACTGATGAGTTTCCTGCACTCTCTTTGCTGTACTGGTTTTATTCAGGCTCAAGCCTTCTTGCTTCTTGCCTTCTTGCTCCAGGAAGGGCAACTGTCCTGATTTTCTTTAGTGCAGTCTTTCTAATTTCTTAACTTTTCCTCAGTGGAACTTAGCAGTAGTCAGTCTGCATTCTACTCTGTTTCTTATCTTAATAAAACAGGCTCTGCAACTTTTGGGGGACCCGTACCCACAAACTTAAATATCAGTAATCCATGACTCCGCCCACCTCAGCTCAGTCCTTAAGCTTCACCAGTCATCCAGGGGTGTGTAGTTAAATTAGAGACACTGGTAGAATGAAAGGAGCTGGAGAAACAGCCCAGACACAGGAAATTGGCAGAGGCCCTAGCTTGGATGAAGAAAAGGAAATTGGGAATAAGGGAGTAGGAAGAACTAATGAGAGGCACTGGCAGTTGATAGGCAGTTAGAAGTAGAGGAGAGAAAGGATGAAATCACAAGGAGGAAGAATAGATGGGCAGGATATGAAGGATATGATGAAATGGAAGAACTTTAGAAAAGCAGATGAGTTACATGGAAGAAAATTTAGAAGTGGCTGGTAGAGTCATAGGAATGATGGAATCCAGAGATACAAAAAAAATAGGTAATGTTTGTAGTTATTGGATTCAATCATAAACAAACAGATTGTGTTAACAATAGCCCAGAATTTGACATATAAAAATGTTAAAGTTGAAAGAATTTGATATTGATTGTGTACTTTTCTCTAAGTAAATGAAATATTCTTGAAGTGTTTTGTTTTTGGAACACATATATAATTAAATATATTTATCTTTTATATTGGTGAACATTACTTGTTATTTATCATTGAGGGGTCTGAATGTTAAGTTCTACATAATAAAGATTTATAGCTTCAGGCAACAGTGATATAAAACCAAAAGCATTTACACAGCATTTGAGGAATATTTTTAAAACAAATTTTGCAGTGTGTCACTTAAGGATCATTCAGTTATCTTTAGTATTTTTTAAATCTCCCTGTTAAATGTCTCACCTTGAAGTATATCCTGCCTTAATTTTATATTGATTTGTAATTTGTATAGGGCCAGGAAAACTCAATATGTTGGGCTGCTTTAGACAAAAATGGAGAAGTGGTAACTTCTAAGGGTGAGTGCAAACTATGTATTTTAATATATGCAGTTTTTTTTGACAGAATAGTTGTTATATCTTTCCTTTATGAGTACTAATTCAATAATATTGGATGAAATAGATGTCTATGATAGTTTATAAGCATCTGCTTTGATATGTATTTATCAAAGCATTAGATGTAAAAACGGAATATTCGTAATTGTCAGCCACTGTCTTTCTGTCTTTTTTCCAGACAATTTAGAAGATGAGACTGAAGATGATGACTTGTTTGAAACCGAGTTTAGACAATATAAAAGAACATATTACATGACAAAGATGGGAGTTGACGTAGTTTCTGAGTATGTTTTTGCCAATGCTTTTACTTTAAAGTAGAAAAAAATTAGACTTTGCAGTGAAAACAACATAATTTTGATAGTTATGGTAATGGGTGGAAAGGATTTTTTGTTTTCATAAATTATTGTAAGCCTTTCAACTAGTACTGTTTTGGACAAGGTAACATTAATTGACATGTATTATGGAGTTGACCTTTGAACAACACAGGATTGAACTGCACAGGGTCCACTTATATACGGACTGTTTTTACTAAATACTTAATGCAGTACTGCGTGATTCACAGTTGGTTGAATCCACGATTGGTTGAATCCACAGATGTGGAATCGCAGTTACAGAGAGCCAACTAGTTATAGGTGGATTTTCTACTACACAGAGGGTTGGCGCCCCTAACTCCTGCATTGTTCAAGGGTCCTACGATAAAAATTGCCAAATAGAAAATGGTTAGTGTTTTGCTTCCCATCTTCTAAAGCTCACATCACACTTATCTCAGAGGGCACCTGGCTCAGCCCCAGGTTAATAACTAGTACAAAAGTTCCTTAACAACTTGACCTGTAGAATGGTTATCCACACTTCTAAACTACAGCCCACAGTATGAATTACATATATTCGTATTTTATTTATTTTAATTAACAAACACTTATAAAGTGTACCAAGTGCCAGGTACTATTCTAAACATTTGAAAAATATTAACTCATTTATATTTTAATAATATAAACATATAAATATATATAACATGAAAATGTTAACTTGTAATTCTCACAATAATTCCTTAAGATAAGTAGAATTATTATTACCTTAAAATAGAGGAAATTAAGGAATGAGAGGTTTAAGTGATTTGCTCCAAGTGACATGCATAGGTAGTGAGTGGCAGAGCCAGGATTTAAACACAAGCAGTCTGGCTCCAGAGCCCATGCTTAACCACCAGATGAGCCTGCTTTTCTATAAGTGAAATAAGAGTTTCATGAAATGCTGTGTACCCTTATTACATTAGCAAGTAGGACTTTTGAGACTTGAGAAATAACATATTTAAAATAGTTATGCTTTTAATCCTTTTTTCCTTTGTTCTTATATTTCCTTGATTACAGTTAGATAGAACTGTAGTACATGCAGTTGACATTAAATGCTTAATTTGATAGGAAACTAGTCTTCTGTTTTATTTCTTTTTCCTTTTATATAGTAAAATGTAGACTTATGAAAATGAGATACTATTTGTTTGCCTAGCAAATAAGCAAATCTTTTTAAGTTGTTATATTCAGTTTTGGTCCAGGAGTGGTAGTAGATTTCTTCCCTTAATTACTGGTGGAAATATAAATTGGTAAAATTATTTTGGAAACTACATATCCAAAAGCCTTTAAAATAGTCATCCCTTTGACCCAATAATTCTAATTGTTAAAATATCTTAAAAATATAAACACAGAAGATCCTTATACACAAAGAAGTTTATTACAAAGTTTTTTAAAAGTAAAAAATTAGAAACAATGTACATGTCCAGTAAGAATGTTCATCATAATTGTCTCCACCTCCTCCTCATTACAGTCACTGTCTCTGCCATTTCCAGTGTTTCCAGAATATGTGGAACTGTTAAACTGGTACTTATGGAAAGTTCATAACAATTCAGAAGGATACTTTCAGTATATCATTAAGTACAAATTTTAAAAGCAGGATACAAAAATCATAATGCACAGTATCCTCTCATTAATACTTAAAACAAAACAAAACAAAAAAAACCTGGGCATAGAAAAGAGATTGAAAAAAATACCAAAAGATAATAGTGATTGCTATAAGGTGATAAAAATGCTTTTTGTCATTATCTGTATTTTCAGTAATGAGGAAATATTTCTTTTATAATAAAAAAGTAATGCATTTCATTTTAAAAAGCATAGCTCCCAGGACTTCCCTGGTGGCACAGTGGTTAACAATCTGCCTGCCAATGCAGGAGACACGGGTTCGAGCCCTGGTCCGGGAAGATCCCACATGCCATGGAGCAACTAAGCCCGTGCACCACAACTACTGAGCCTGCTCTCTAGAGCCCGTGAGCCACAACTACTGAGCCCACGCACCACATCTACTGAAGCCCGCACACCTAGAGCCCGTGCTCTGCAACAAGAGAAGCCACTGCACTGAGAAGCCCGCTCACCACAATGAAGAATAGCCCCCGCTTGCCTCACCTAGGGAAAACCTACGAGCAGCAATGAAGACCCAACACAGCCAAAAATAAATAAATTAAAAAAAAAAAAAAAAGGGGCTTCTCTGGGGGCCCAGG